ATGCGTCATTCCTACTTGGCAATGGCTCTCAGCATGCATACTCAGAAAAAATGAGAAATTATATCCCACCTATGTATGACATATCAAAGTATATAAGTGYATTCTACTGTCATGTATAACTAATTAAAACAAATATAAAATTAATTTTAAAAATTTTAAAAAKWAGAGTTGAGGAGGTAAAGAACARGGAGCAAATCTGYTGGATGTTCAGTGATCCACAWGCAAAACGAACAACCAAAGTGGAAGCTTTCAGGAAAGTGGGTACAGAGAATGAGATGTCTGAGGTTCCCTTCCACATGGGGTTCAAGCTGACAGCACATGAATCTCAAAGGCAGAGAAACTTCACTGACTTCTGGGTTATAGAATTAATTCTCTGGTCTTATTAAGTCAATTGCCTGTGCACTGAAAAATCCTAATATACCACAATATACATAAAGATCCTTAGGAATAAATTAACAGAAACCAGAACACTGGCTTGTTTGCTCTGAACCAGGAAGCCAATCTTGCAGTAGTGGTGATTTGCAAATTCCTGGTGTTAGTTGAGTATTGTTTCTAGAAGTAGCTGTTCCTCACTCCACTGTGGCCCAAGCATAAAATGATCAAAACCTTTTTAACTGGCTATTTCTTATACTTGATTACAATGATGTGTAAGTTATTTTTATAAATATACCACAAAATTATTATCAGCTTATTATGATGAGTATTAGAGTCAAATTAATGCATAACAGTAYTCATAATAGTTACAGGATATCAAATGTTGATGACATACCTTGAGGAGTCTCGCTTCTAGATTTCTGACAATGTCTTGGCAAATTCCAGAAACAAAATATTGGTACAATGCAAGGAGAGGCAGAACCTGCCAGGGGAAAAACACCCAGTTTCAAATATATTTCATCAAGTTAGTAACCTAGTAATCAAATTTATCCAAACATTTAGCTAGGCATGGTGGTGCACACCTCTAATCCCAGCAATTTGGGAGGGTGAAACAGGAGAATGGCAAGTTGGAGTCAGTCTCACCAGTTTAGCAAGACCCTGTCTCAAATAAAAAATAAAACAAGCTGTGGATGTGACTCAGTGTAGTGCAACCCTGGGTTCAATCTCCAGGATCACAAAAATAAAAATTAGCTGAATATTAAATATAGGATATGTTATTACAAAGTATTCATTGAGTTTCCATGCTAGCAAACTAAATCATTTGGCATAWGTAAAGAAATCTGGCTAGCAAATGCCTTATTAATTTCAGGGACTTATAGTTCCTTGTAGATGCCATTTGGTATCCCAAAATGAGGCTTCATGTCTCTTTAAGCATGGAAAAATTAAAATCCAATTAATTATTTTCCTTGAAAAAACTAACATAAACGAAGCCTGTGGAAAATTTCTACCAAATGAGCTATCAAATAAATGTAAAATTTAAAGCAAAAGAACTCACATTCATGTCCCCTAACTAGTTCTTACTTATTCATATCAGTGTCAGCCACTTTGTGTTTTCAATTAGTAATTTTTTCATTGGTAAAAACAAGTTTAAAACATGTCCATTATGTGCTAGGCACTATTGAGTGAGAAAAAAATCTAACAAGTTCCAGCCTTTACATAGCATGTATTCTACTGATTAAAACCCAGCCTTCCTCTTCACATAATATTTTAAGTTTTCTAGAATCAAATCAAAAGCTCAATTGTTTTTGAGGTCTCATGGCTCTAAGTGAAGGCTAATAAACAATCGACACTTCAATTAACTCAACCACTATCCATCCAGAGAYAAGACAGTTTTGCTTGGCCATTGGAACAGCCCCTGGTCTCAGTTCAAATCTGAAGTTCTGTTCCTGTAGCTGTAGCCTGACCGGCCAAAGGGAGATGAAATAAGAATTGAGAGCCCCATTGTTTAGYAAAGTTATTTCCCATCTTCTGCAGCTCTGGGTCCCACAGCAAATGTTATATTTGAAAGAAGTCTCCTTAGCCACTTGGCTGCTTCTGGAGAAGGTCAATAAGTAGAAACAGTTACTTTTTATAAATTTAGCTGAGGAACCTCTAATGGTAGGTCAATTGGTGACTGCTAACAGCAACAACTATTTTAGAAATTTTTTTAATATTTATTTTTTAATTATAGGTAGACACAACACCTTTATTTTATTTTTATATAGGATATGTTATTACAAAGTATTCATTGAGTTTCCATGCTAGCAAACTAAACCATTTGGCATAAGTAAAGAAATCTGGCTAGCAGTGTCTCACACATGCTAGGCAAGCACTCAACTTTGAGCTACAACCCCAGCCCTTAGCAACAACTTTTTAAAAAGGACAAGAACTAGTCTTAAATGACTTCAAACATAATGCAATCTATTTTTCTACAATTATGCATTACAAACATAACACAGAACCTTTTTCTACAATTAATGTTGCACAAAACATTAAGACCTTGTGATTACCTTTGAGATTTAGGGTTTTTTTTTTTTTTACTTTAGTGAGAAATAAAACACACAATTTTATTACTGAAAGTTGCTCAATTATTCAGGGGAAAAAAACATTCTCAATTTCTTAAGCTTTATAGGGGGAAAACAAGTCTCATTTATCTTCCAATGCAGTGATATGTATTATATATGAATGAGTAGGCAGCTAAAGGTTACCCAGGGGATAAGATCATTTTCTGAATCTAGAAATGAATCCCTTTACCAGGAAGAGAAGCACCATTTTATTATTATTTTTAATAGAYATTTTCATCCCAAATCTGCCCAGCATTAAAAGCATTGATAAATTGAAGAGATGCTTTTAACACCTCTTCATTTTAATACCTGGTTTTATAATTTAACAACACATTTCAGGGGCAATAAATATTTTTAATATAAAGAGGGAGTTGAATTTAAAAGAATAATATGCCAAGAGAATAGAAAATAATACATGAAAAACAGTATGAAAGTTATGAAATAAAGGAAAATAGTAAATGGAGAAGGAAAAGATGTCAAGAAGCAAACATAGGGGGAAAGAGAGACAAAAATAAAAGTATAAGAGGAAGAGAGAAAAGAGCTTAAAAAAAGAAAATAGATATGAGGACCAATAAAACACACCAAATTGTTTTTAAATGCGATCAACTTTATCTTTTATACTGTGATTTCTTTCCCCAGGAGAGGAGAGCTATATTTGGATTTTGGGGTTTCCTAGGACATTAGRAATTTTCTACTTTTTATCTCACCATTATAGTGGATTGTTCTCTTTGATGTACCCTTGACAGAGAAAAGACATGAGACACAAGAAACGTATTTCAATATGGAAGTACACTCATAGTTTGGGTATTGATAAGAACTAAACAACTTAATGCTGTAAGTTACTAGCGCACTACACTCCTATGTTTGATRTATCTACCAATGACACAGTCTAGTCAATTTCACCATGTCTTAAGAATAAAAGAAGTGAAGTAATAGAATRAAAAAGGGAACAAAATACAATGCAAACAATGTTAAAGAAAGACTGTTAATTAATATATTTTATTTGTAAGTATAGATAAGAATCCTAAATATAAAAGTTAAGTAAGAATTTAAGARCACTAGCGAAACTTGAAAAGTAGAAAGTAAGTGGGGAAATATGCCAAAGTGAATTAAAAGTTKTTGGTTTCACAAATTACTCACCATTAGATTTTGCTTAGCATAGTGCAGTTCACGTATGATGTAATACAAGCTTGCAACTACAGAGCAGATATCAGCCCTGTGTCTATCRGAGAAGAGTTCAATGCCTGGGAGAAGCTGAGTGATTTCATACTGAGCATAACAACGTTCAGCTTTAGGATGTGGAAGTGTGGTTCGAAGCAAACCCTGAAAATGATATACAGTAAAATAAAAAGCTATAAATTGCACTTGCAATGATGAAACCAAAAAATAAGTACATGCTATCACGTCCTAAAGTGCTTAGCACATGTCTAACATACTATACTCCATAATAAACAGTAATTATATTATTATAATTATTAATATTACTGTAATATTAATTATTATTGCTTTTTTATTAGTTGTTCAAAACATTACATAGTTCTTGACATATCATATTTCATACATTTGATTCAAGTGGGTTATGAACTCCCATTTTTTCCCCGGTATACAGATTGCAGAATCACATCGGTTACACATCCACGTTTTTACATACTGCCATACTAGTGTCTGTTGTATTCTGCTGTCTTTCCTATCCTCTACTATCCTATTATTGCTTTTATCAGGCAAGATGGGCTTTTAAAATTCCATCGTAGTTGTATATTTATTATTTTCAAAGAAATTACCATTACGTAAAGTATTTAGTGAGAGTCAATTTGTGTTGGACTTTTCTAATAATTTTTTTATAAACATTATTTCACTTAATGCTCATCTAACCCACTCTTGGAAGAATCGCCATCTCAGAAGTTATATAATTGTGGTATAATCAGTCACCTTATCTGAGGTCACACAGCTAATGATTGCAGAAAAGAGATTTAAAGTCATGTCTGTATAACCCAAAAATCTATATCAGGATTATAAATTGAGAAAATAACAACTTGAAGTCTAAATTAAGGACAGGTAATTCCAAACTTTCAACTGCAATAAATATAAAGATAATCTGGTTAATGTGACACTATCTCTTGGTAACTTACATGATCAACATTGTACTAGATTCTGGGAAAATAAGATGAATACTTTTGTGGTTTAGATGTGAAGTGTCCCCCAAAAGTTSATCTGTGAAACATGCAAGAAGTTCAGAGAGGAAATGATTGGGTTACAAGAGCCTTAACCCAATCAGTGAATTAACACTTGATGGGATTAAGTGAGTGGTGACTGAAGGCAAGTGGGTGTGGCTGAAAGAAGTGGGGCATTGGAGAAGGGGTGTCTTTGGGGTAAGTATTTTGTATTTGGCAAGTGGAGTATCTCTCTGCTTCCTGATCATCATGTGAGTTGCTTCCCTCTACATTTTTAAGCCATTGATATCCTGCCTTACCATGAGATATGGAACCTGCTGTCTATGGACTCATAACTAAAATTATAAAATACAATGCTAGCTTTATATACAAATTTTCCATTCACAGACATAATAGATTACATCATTATTTTTAAAACTTTGATATTTTATTATTTACATGTACTAG